TAGTCTTACCTCATGACATCGGTTTTGTGCGTTATTGTGAGAAGGGGCGGAGCCAAGGAGCAATATCTGGAGGCTAACCGTCTCCTTGGCATATCTCATCGGGCATCCTGATGCCTTCTGGTCAATGCCCCCCCTCGGGTGCGTCCTATGATAAGGTCAAAAAAACCAAATGCACCCAGCTCCGGATCGCGTATTTCGCATACATACAACGCAATATCTACACCTATCTCACAGAGAGATAATAATAGGTCATATAATACCCGTATTATGTGTGAATATTGGACAACCCTACGTCATGGTTGCGACGAGGATGATTTGCGAGCAATTGGACGTCTTTCCTGAGACGTAGAAGAGGTGGATATCGTATATGTAATGTAATAGAGTGCGCGGACCATTCATGTCATGAGTCTGCCTCATGCTAGTACTTAAGGGCCCATGCTGAGAGAGAGACCCCAGAGTGGAGAGAGGAAGATAGGTCGGGAACGTCGTCGCAAATGTCGGTACGTTCGGCTCCATGTACCGGAAACGTATCGGAAGATCAGTCAAGTAAGACCGACTAAGACAATTCATTCGGGCATGAGACAGACTTTTTTAGGATGTTTAATGTAACAACAACAATTCACAATAATATAATAGGAATGTAGGTCAGTAAACGAATTAAATAAGAACGAGGGAAACAGTCCAAAGACGGTGGACCTTGCGACGCTTCCTAGGAGAGTTGGGGAGATCAGCTAGATTCGTCCTTCTGTGTTACCATCATTCTTTTATCGCGTGTAGTTCCCGCGAAGATCGTGGCGCTTCCTCGGGCCTCTGATCACATCTGATCTCTCTGCCACATTGCTTGGTTTCGGTGCAGTCTGCCCACTCCTCCTCACTGTTGGGAACGAACACTGTAAACTGGACACTGCAAGTTCAATTTCAGCAAGTGCTGATACTTACGTGGTCGACCCATGATCTCGGCGGTAACCCCATCATTTTGGCTTGATGGGACTGAGGGTGAAGCGCGCGGTGATAAACCAAGCCGCTGTTACCAGAGCGCCCAAAACAATTGCGGCACACTTTGGAGGCGTATGTTTGTGTGCGCTCCTCCGCTCCCTTCCTCCTTCTTTGACCGTATCGCAAAATTGAAAAAATGCTTTGCAATCCGTGATGAGCCTCTAATTCACAAGTAATTATACCGAAATCCTCAAGCGATCCGGGTAACCCGTTGATTGCCAACAGAAGAATCTGCCTGGGAATCATTTCTCCTTTTGCCACAAACGCCATCATCAAATCTGAAACGAACAGTTGCTAATAGCGGAAGGTTTCTCTCATCGAAGAATTGTTTCAGTCCTCATTACATGTCATTCTGCCGTGGTGTCAACACTCTCAAAGTGTCAGCGAAGTTATTTGCCGAAAATCGAACTCGTCTTGTTGCAG